AGTACATAAACTCGTAGGTAATTAGGACAAAGTAAGCCACTCATATATTCTACTAGCGATGGTGTCAACGCGGTCGCATTTTAATCACTCCATTAGCGTGTTAATTAGATACTGCTTAATTATTCACTCATAGGTGTACTTAGATAGACGCATGTACTCATATTTTATGTATTACTAAGATGGCGACTGAAATACTACTCTTAGGCAAAGTTTTCGTTTTTGGGTTACGTTTTTATTAAATTATTTTGACACTTTAACGCGTCAACTCTTCAATTGAAAGCGAAATAAAGTCGAAATAATTAATGTCGCCCGATGATTTATTGGAAGCGCTGCTTTGCGTGCTCGAGCGCGCTTGCACTCGAATTGCGTTTTCGCCAATTAAATAAATTAATTAAACTGAATGCGTGCGCTGTGAGCAATGCATGAAACAAAATCAACTGTTTTGCATGTCAACTTGTCATCTTGAATCTTTGGTTTTGAGCCACAGAAAAAAAGCACGCACCCAAATTGTTTCGATTGTTCACACATCAGTGCGTCGATAAATTGCGAATTGCGATGACAAAATCAACCAAAACAAAAAATGCGCAATAATAAATAACACGGCTGTAAAAACAGGAAGGCCATCGACGTTGATATATCTCTTTCGGCTGGAACTACGATGTTGATTTATTAAATGATTTTTATTTGTATTTACGTTAAAAATGTGTTTGTTGGGTTGCAGCAATGCAGTGCAATGCAGATAATTTGTAAATATAACCAAATATGCGCTAATTATTTGTGTTTATATTATGATTTTATGTCTTGCACGGCAGATACTAATAAAACTAAGGATATTTGCGGTCGCAGCGTCTTGAAGTCTAGACTTTGAACTTGTGCTTGCATAATTTTTAATGTTCTCGCTCGCGTCTCGCAATGACACATGCGGTGTTTTCAATAAGTGTATTGCGGTAATAAATTCGCGATTTATGCAAAAGGTGACCCTGCACGTAACCCACTCGTTAGCATCACCTCGCACAGCATGCGAAGACATGAAAGAGTATGAAGTACTTGTACTGGAGTAATGTAGTAATACATATTAAAGAGGACAAGTTGAGGTTTGAGCGAAAGAAAAAATTTATATTGAGTGTTTAAAAACAGATGTTAAATATACTTAAACATTCATCTATAATATAAAAATGAATCATAAAATTTGTTGGAAAGCGCATAACTCAACAACGCCTAGACTAATTTGGCGAATTCTTTTTTTAAATGTTCGTTAAAGTCCAAGGATGGTTTTTACGGCGAGAAAAATTCGCTCAATTGCCGGGAAAGCCCTAAAGACACCACATTTTCTATAGGATAAAAGTTGGCATTGAGATTCAATCATAGTTATAGTTAAATAATTGAATCCGAGATGGCGCGCTGAAGTGCATTATTAGCAATTCTTTAAATAATTAATTTCTTTAAAATAAAGTAGCGAATCTTATTGATAGAATTGACATAGACTATGTCTAGAACAAGAGAGTAAAAACGAATTACATTTTTATTAAGCACTACAGGGACGAAATCGCGGGAAAAGCTAGTTTTGAGTATAAATTTGTATTAGGTGTTATTTGAACACGATTAAAACAATTATGTTATCACATCTGTCTTGTCACAACGTGTGTGATCGATCATTCAACTGTATTTTCTCATCGCCAAACCAACGAAACGCTTTATTAATTAATCAACTACAAGTTTAATATGTGTAATTGATCAGAACTTCAATACAGCACGAGAGTAATTGTTGAATATTCCAAACACTTTTTATTTCGCAGCGTGTGGTCCATGAATTAATAATAACTCTTTTATTTCTTACAAAAATCAATTAAATTTTGTTGTTGTTCAATGAAATCCTTTAGTGGTTACTGAAGTCACGTTTAATAACCATTTATTTAACATTTTCTTGAATCCATTTGCGTTCGTTTAATGTAACTTGTTTTGATGTGTATTGAAGTTTACGGAAATTCCAGCGATCGATTCGCACTAACAATACACATTTGAACGCATTTATTGACGACCAAAGCGCAAGAAATAGGATAATAACAGGCATAATAAACACGTATGGGAAAACATATATATGAAATGTGAAATGTGCACGCACTCGGACACGATACTGCGACGTGGAACAATCGCACGCCACGCACATTAGCACGACACAATCATTAACATGAATTGTTAATTACTACAATTTGTAATGTGTAATTATGGATTATCACACAAGGCTACTATAATTTTAGTTTTTATTTAAACTAGCTAGCAGTATCAAAATAATTTATAAATTAATTTTCTTTTGTTAAATATGCTTAAAAATGTTAAATATTTACTTATTTTTTAATTTTCAGAGTTTAATTAAAATTACGAAAAATCCAAGGTAATTTAAACTCGGGGGAAGAAAAAACAACAAAAAATGCGCCGAGTTGGTTTATTCTTCGTCCTGGGGATAATATTCTTCCTGCAGGCATGCGTCGACCGTGGCGAGGCGTGCAGTTGTCAGCCACGACATCCGCAACAACATTTATGTTCCGCAGACTTTGGTAAGTCCCTAATTAGACTTTTTAAAATTTAAATGCAAAAAATAATTTTTTTTACAAACCAGTTATGCGAGGCATTTTGATGAGTGCGAATTTAAGCATTGTGATGCAATATATGCACATTGCAGGTTTTCATGACTTTATTATGTTTGCGTGGGCCGGGCCGGCAGAATTTTGTCATCCTGCCAAAAAGGAATCGGCACGCGCGCACACTGAATGCGCAAAACTCGAATATCCGCGCGCCGGCATCGAGCAATCGATAAATTTACACGCGCTGCACAAATTTATGAATAACGCGAGTGGCCAGCAGCCATACCAGGACACAAACTTCAATCGACAGAATAATTACGTCATAACTCAATCAATCCACACACAAAAATGCTTTAAAACAGCCAAACTCGTGATTCGTTAATCAAATTTTATGTTTTTAATATTTTTGTTTACGTCTGCTTAGTGAATTTTTGAATGCGAGAATAACTGCGCAAATTTTCTAGCTGTTTGCGAGTGTTTAATTCAGTCAAACACGACCGCGACGTTTTCTAACCGTTTTTCAAACGTTTTTACTGTTTGCTCATCGTTTGCGGGCGTTTTCTAATGCTGTACGCCGCCATTGAAACTCGATTTGCTCGGAAAACGCAAACTCGGCGCTAATGCGACACGAAAGAGGCGGTTTCGTAATTGCTCGCATGGTTTACACACGTTGGAAACACGCGGAAAACCCTGTTTACATAATTATTAAACAAATATTCACCAATGGCTAATTGCGGACAAAAAATTGAAAATTAAACAATTTTAAACCTATTTAAACATTCCTAACACGAAATGCATATAAAAATTATTTGTACATTGAATTTCTCGATCAAATGTTTAAACAATATTTTAATTGGTTTCATACATTGAAGTTTAATTGCTTGTTAAAACTGTAACATTAGCTTTGTAATTTTAACAAACGGAATAAATACACTTGTATAACTGGTTGCATATGGTCAAGTATAGAAAAACGCCAGAAAGCAATATTTGTAACTTTCAGTGATATTTCTGTTTAATAAAAAGTTTAAAATTAGTTTTTAATTTTTTTTCTTTTTTAGTTATCCTCGCGCGTGTTAAGCGTGAAACGCTGACAAACGAAACGCGCGAGTACAAAATAAAAATTCGCAAGGAATACAAGATGTCGGAGAAAGCATACGTCGCCCTTAAATTCGGTCGCCTTGTGACCGCCCGAGACGACTCAATGTGTGGCACACGATTAGAAGTGAACAAAGTCTACGCTATTAGTGGACGTGTTGTCACATTGCAGGCACGTATTGGTCTCTGCGACATGGCTGAGAAATGGGACGACCTTACAAGACGCCAACGCAAAGGACTGAAACTCATGTACAGACAAGGGTGCACATGCGAAATTAAATTTTGTCCGAAATCGCAATCTACTCAGAGAGGCCGCTGCGCCAGAACAAAAGACGCCTGCAACTGGGACACGTGGTTGCCAGATAAAAAGAAGGATTGTCAACGGAATGAAGTCAGTTAATAATATAACGCTTAAATCATAAATAACCTGTTGATTATTTTAGGGAATTTGTTTGCGCAACTCCAAGAAACAATGTATATGGTCCCGTAATTTGGCACTGACAACATGCACACGTAATTCCACCGTAATGCACTACGAACCGAAGGCGGTGCCAACAGCTACCGCAGTGGAACATCCCACAGCTTTACAAGCACAGCAATCGCAGCATCAATATGTACGCAAGAAGTGGACATGGCCCAAAAAGGCGTACTCACCATTTCGCGATGATCCGGATAGAAGGTCTGGTCAATGAGCGGGAACGCTTCCTTGCCGAGACGACGCTGCAGCTGCACAAGATGGCCGAACACCCACGGCTTATCCTGTGAATCACATAACCAAACATTACAGATTTATCTAGTAGCCACCTGCAGCGCCATCAATACACGAATAGCCTAACTGTTGAGGTATTAAACCAAAAATTTACAACTAAAAACAAAAATATTGTACATAGACTGATATACAATGTGTTTAGTTGCGTAGTTAGGAATTAATCGTTTAATCAATGATAGTATTATATTGTGTAGTTGTAATTATTAGTGTGTAGTGACAGTTTTCGCATTTTAACTGTATTTATTGTCGCGCCTAAGTAACACTAAGTATTTTTATGTTTTATATGTAGGGTTAATGTGGTTGTTACGTGCGAGCGATCAAACTGGCGACTCACCTGGAAGTTGTAGATGGCGTTTATGTTGTTAATGCTTGGTACACCGCCGAATTTCAACGCCAGCAGTAGCTTCTTGTAATCTTCGCCGGCGTCCTTCAGATTTTGTCTAACCTATAATAACAATTACAAAACTAGTGACGCCATCTGTCGGTGAAGCGCATGTGTAAATTATGTTCTAATGTTGTAATAAACTTTGTTAAATGTTTTCTTAATGAATTAATTAACTTACCAATAAAAAGTCAGGTCTAAATGATCGCCCCACCCTGGTACCGCCTCTGTAAACCGCCATGGAAACAGTAGCGCCATCTGCATTCGCAGTGACGTTAATCTCTTTAAACTCTGCCTGTTCAACGCGTACATCATAATCTCCGATCTTCTTTCCGCGATAGTACTTTGACCAATCGGTGTTTTGATCGTCGATGACGAGTAGCGTGAGATGGCGACCGGAAGTAACCGATGAAGTAATACGACTGGCGCTTGACACCGCCGAGCCGAGAATTGATGCTCCTTGATCACGTGCTTGACCTGTCAATGACTGCACACGCTGAAGGAGTGATTCGCGTGATTTTGCCGGTGAGCTAGGTGCGCTTGTTGTTTTGGAGCCACCGCGTAGATTCAGCGATAAGTCACCGGAAGAGCCACCGGTTGATCCTCCCACAGGTCCAGTGCTAGGTGGTCCTCCAGTTGAGGCGGAACCACTTTGACTCGCCGCTGAACCGCCGGAGGGCGCCATTGACTGCACAGACGATGAGGATGAAGGTGCCTGAGAAATAACACAGTATTTAATAAAATAACTGTACATACAGTGCGTTCAAGTGAAAATGAGTTGTATAAATGTGGGGAGGAAATTGAAGTTGGAGGGTTAAGTTTATCCCGATATTATATTGCATAGAATTCTCTGAATTCTCGACAATCCTAGATTTTAACGGTTCAACATCGTCGGCATCTTTGGCATTATTGGCGTCATCATCGCGCGTCGTTATTTATACTCTCGCCCTTCGTCGCTGCGAATATCCTGATGGAATTTTACGAGCGCAAACGATTCAATTGTATCCCGGCGCCTTCACTTCTACACACGTTCATGCTGCGTTTAAATTTAAATTTTCATCATTTCGCTTCACTCTACGTCGCATCTAATCCCGAGTAATTTAGTTTAGTAACTGGAGGCTGTCGTGTTAGTTGTGAGTTTATTGTGGTTTTGTACGTGTTTGAGTTTCATATTGTTTGATATTATCCCACCTCATTTGCAGGAAATTCATGTATTCATAATCATCGCACGGCGTAGCGTTGTCCTGGTGTTGTGTTATCCTGTTATACGTTTTGTTAGATATTGAACGCAATATATAACAACAAGTGTTTGATGGGGACCGGAGGCGCGCAAGTTACAATCGAATTTAGCTGGAAATAACGTCGCTGAGAATGACGTGCGACGAGGAAGTTTTGGTGGCGGTGTTGAGCAATATAGTGGAAATTCCCAGGGGACATTTTCAGGGAAATATCCACTCGCGCTGTGTGTTATAAGTGTAGCGTCGCTATGCGTCAATCAGAAAACAAGTGAACTTTACGAATAGGTACGTAATATTTTTGTAACCAAGAAAAAAAGAAGAAATATTGGAAAATGCGATATTTCTTTATCACTACAAAACGCAAACATTAAACATAACCTCAATTAAACCCTACTACGACTCTACTTAACATAACATAAAACCTAATCTAAAAACAACGAAAAAAAGTCGTTTTTGTGTTGTAACATAACCTTAGTTAAACGCTACTAAACTAACCTACAAGCTTTCAGTTCATACAAAACGAAAACAAGTACTCTACGCTGTCAAAGTGTAACATAACCAAGTTTGTGATTCATGTGCAACGTTGACGTACCTGAGGTTGAGAGGTCACCGGCGGCGCCTTCGTGTACGGATCCACCTGCGACTCATCGCCGTCGCACTCCGAGGAGAGATCCCCGGAGCTGAACCGGCGCTTCAGGTAATTGACATTGCTGGTGAAGGAGTTCCGGAAGCTGCTGAACGAAATGGTGGGGCCGTTTGCGGTCGCCGGGCCGCAGTACTTGCCGCACTCGGAAGAAATCTTGCCGGCTCGCTCTCCAACACACGCGCGCGCACGGGGTGAGAGTGGTTGAGCGCGGTTTGCTTGCCGGTATCACGCGATAGCTAACCTATAAAAGAAAATTCAACAGAAACGGATGATTTTAATATACAAACGCATTAATTAACATCGACCAAGTTTAAATTAAAGACATCCAACTAAAACACATCTAACGATATCTATCTGTGCGGTTTGGTACTAAATTTGTGCGGATACTATTTTAGGCTATATTGTAATTACTACGGAGTTAAAACTGAAAGAATTTTTTTGACCTAGTTTTTTTTTCTGTTCGGTGTAACGCGAGAGAATAAATTATTTCTGAGGTTTTAAAAATGGCGTTAGATTACAATCAAAATGGCTGCTGAAGTAAATTAATTCTATGTGCATTAAAAAAATATTAAATGACTTTGGAAAAATCCTGAAACACGATGCTCGAATCTCGTTCAGCCAACCCTTATCATGTGTCAATGTGTTTCAAGCATCACTTTTGTCTCCTCGATAATAGCGCGCCGCGCTTCTTAACGTTTTCGCGATTTTCCACGGTTTCCTTCGATCCTCGGTCATTGTGCGACTTGCGTCGAGTTTCGGGTAGAGGGTGGCGGAGGGCGCAGGGCGACCGTGTACGCGCGCCTATCGATCCCCGCCGTCGGTCGCCGCCACCACCGTTGCCGCCGCCGCCGTTCGCGAATCACTGCCCCCATGAACCAGTTGATTCCGCACGACATCCGCCAAGAGCGAACGAAACGCCGACAATGAAATAATCTACGAAATACTGCCAAACCAAAATGAAACAAAACCACATGCGAAGGATTAAATGAAGCAGCGTCTAATTGAGCAAGATTTCAAGAAAAGCAATAGTTACAAGCACTGTGATAAATATTTGTCTTACCTTACGTGAGTTTGCAACTTTTGCACAAGTTTTTCTCGCCGGATTTCGAAACTTGCTTGTTTTTGTATGAAGTTTTATTGCAATAATATAGTCTTGACAAAGTTTTCGTGAATTGTTGTCGCACACACACGGAGATTGAAAGGTACTGAGTTGAGAGCGAGGGCTAGAAACAGGCGAGAAAAGGGAGTGCAGATCCCCCGACGTGCTCGTTCGTTCCGTGCGGACTGGCCGGCGTGAGTGCGTGCCGCCGCGCACGGGTGGGCGGCGCGATACTAGCGACACCATGAACGTCAAATGAACGCAAACAAATTGATGCAGGTTGGTTGAGTGCGACAGAAACACAGCCTGAGTTCTGTGAATGCGGTCGATAGTCGAAACGAAACGAAGCTTTGCGAAGCGGCTAGGAACGAGAAGCACGCGAAGGAAAACGAAGGAAATTGTTGGAGGATAAAGCGCTGCCGCGCACACTGTGGGTGTTACTGTGTCGAGAGATGATACCAAACGTGTTCACACTGGGTGTTTATTTATTATATTGAAACAAATATTTGTGTGTAATGTTTATGTGATATATAATTTTCTCGGGCGTGGTTCATACTAAAATAAATCAGGCAGGTAAGTTGTATGTTTAGTATTTAAAAATTTATTTTAGAACTTTGGTTTAAAAAAAAATATGCGTGAATGGCTTAAAGAGTTTGTAATTGCGACCACTTCGTTTGGCTGATGTCGCCACAGGCAATTAGTCCTTATTAGAAAAACAACGCCGGCGCTAATTGTACAAGATGCTCATTAAAATGCAGGAAAACGAAGGATTAGCCAAGCGCAAACGACAAAAGAGCGGAACAGCGGAAAAATGAAGGGTGGATAAGCGGGAATATGACACCAGAGCTACTTAAAGGGCTAATAGTTACAAATTAGTGGTTGTTTGAACAAATTTGGTTTTCATTAAAAAATCGTTTGTTATTTTGTCTTTCTTAAAACGAAAAAATTCAGTTGTATCCTATTGGAATCCTTTCAAGTATAACGTGGAAAAATGCGTAAAACGTGGCTGGTGCGCATCCAAACGCGATAAAAAGGACTCAAGTAGTAAAGCGTCGAAGGAGTCACTAAATGGGGTGTTTAGTGCCTATGACTAATGCACCGTAAGTTATAAAATCTGATCATTCTTTACCTTTCATCCTTATATTTCGCTACGTTGCTTCGTAAAATGAGAAAAGTTTTGATGTACATGGTATACGCATGCGCAAACAACCTAACCTAACATTTAACTTGGAAAAGTATCATATTTAATTGAGTTGAAAGAAGTGAATAAATTCTAGTCACATTTGACGGTTCACTTTCCGTTCTGGGTTTTCCTCCTTTTCCGCTTTCCTTTGCTGCGTTGCACTTAACAGTTGTTCCGATGATTAAATTATTAACAAGCGAGAAGAGTTGAATAAAAAGCGTCGACAAAACGAATTAAAGCCTGTCACAAGAGAAAAAACTAGGAAAAAGATCACGCGGATTCTTTCTTCTCACGGGAAATTCGTTTTGCCTTTTAATCCAATTTTCGCCGGCTCGTTTGCTGCTTTTTCCGCTCCGGCCGTTTCCTCCATTATCTCCTAACTCGACGTGCGCTAGGCGTCCGGCGTTATTTTATTTACACATCGGCTTAAAATCGAATAATGATTTTAAATGTAAAAATAACTCCAAAACATTCACATACAATATGTTTAGAGTAATAAAACAAATATGAAACACACACTGTGTTTAACTTAGAATAAAACTTAAATTCTGCGTCAGTCAGGTGCGAGATGCGGGGCGTGACTTTTACTTTTACTTCCGCCTCATTAAAGTCACATGCGACCGAGCGTAGCAAGGTCATCCGCCAAATATTTGCGGCTGTCATTAATTAAGTTGTTTATAAAAAGTGAACTGTTTTATTTCAACAAAAAACTATAATTTTAAATAAATAAAAATGCTTAAACCAACAAAATTACCGCAGAGTAAATTTAACATACAAAGTGTCTAAAAATATAATAATTAGACTAAATTTAAGCGGCTTAAGTTACTTTCAGGTAGGTATAAAGGTAGATAGAACAAACTTGACATAAGCGGAAATAAGTATTGAGGCTTGTGTTTCTCTCTCTATGAAACCATAGACGTAGAAAAGTGTGGAAAGAAAATAGACTTAAGTCACTTTGGGTGCAGCGTGTAGTGACTGCGATGCGATCAAAACTAGTTTCCGCGACTCCAACGCTGTGCTAGACGCGAAACACTCGCGCAGTCCAACGCAGACCGCGAGTGCGCAACCGCGGCGCGCTTAGAGCTCACTTCAAGCCAGCAGCGCAGTGAAGTCAAAAGTCAAAACGATCGGAAAGCTCGGACGTGCAGCATGTCGACGTAAACTCGAAAAGCATTTACTTCATATCAAAACATTATAAACACTACAAGACAACACCATCTGCAATTAAAAACAGTCAAATATTCATCAATAACATTAATAAATTAAATAAAAAGTGTAAATATCGTGAAAATATAATCTAGTGAATGTAAACACTGTTGCAATAACAAAAACATTATTGATATTGATAAACGTGCATATATCAAGTGACTTAATTTAATTCAAATTCAACTTAAGTCATTTTTTTATTTTGGAAGTGAAGTGACAATGTGAGCATTGAAATTATTTGTTTATTTAATTATGAATTTTCCGTATCTTACATAAAGTGTAAGACTGTAGTGACAGTTGACATACAGTGTGTTCATAAATATTAATTTGCGTAAATTTGAAATAGAAAGTGTTAGAATGAGTGCCGATATGAGTGTAAATAATGCGAGGATGTCGACGAACGGCCGGATTTTCGCTATTCTGGTCGGCGTGCTTCTGACATGCGGAACTAGACAGGTAAATTACCTTAGACACAATGAACACGTTTTTTGTATTGCAATTTATAAAGAACCATTTATGATTCATTTTCGATTGAAAAATGGTGATGAATACTCAATATTTATTCGATGTGAGACATTGATTCTTTGAATAAGTAGCTGGAGGTGTTAAGAGGTGTTAAGTGGTTAAACAATGTGACTTATTACGTCATAATATAGTATTTAGTGGAAAATATTTGATGGAATGTTATTTTTAGTTATTTAGTTAAAATTTATTAAAAATTTGCTCAAAAATGTTAATTTTTTGTGTAAAAACAAGAAAAACAAGTTTATATTGAAAAAATCGTAGCAATTTGCTCCAATACTCAAAATCAAGAAAAAAAACGTCCTCGTAATTATGATACGCAGTGTATCTACACATGTTAGCATCAATTATCGCCAGCATCTTATCCATACGTGCACTCGCTGCATTTGTTGTCGCTGTAGACCGCTCTCTTAACAAACGCAACAAAACGCAGATCGGTCGCGGCTCGCGGCCCGCGAGTTTTACTTTCAAAAGCCTTGAAAATGCAACTTAGTCTCTGTTCGGCGGGCTCTCTGCGCGATCGACGGCTGGACGACGACGCGACGCGGCGAATTAGTCGCTCGGCGAGAATTCGATGGAATTCGCGTTCGTTATGCGTACATATTACACATATTACCTTTGTATCACTTTGCTGAGACTTCGGCCAACATATCTACTACATATTACTTTACACAGCAGTGGTTTGTACTTGAAGCAAAATGTCATATGTCATACATACCAAGTAGCAATTATGAGCAGAATATATTACATGTAAAATAAAAATAAGTATTATGAAAAAAACATCCCAATAACTCCATCTGGTGTTGAATAGATTTAAATTCTAGTAATAATGCTTCGTGTATTTGGTGGCCTACTTTCTATAAGAAAATTTTATTCCTTTGCAATTTGTGTCGGTTAATATCGTGTTAATTTAGCGTTAATAATTAATTTTGCATTACATTTCAATTTAAATTTAAATTTGTATTAGTTGCACTTTAGTTCTATGCGCATTATGCTCAGTGGCTTGCCTTTAGTCACACTTTCCTCTATATTTTCTCTTAGGCAATATCCAACTGTTAATGTGATGAGAAAGCAGTTTGGTTACGTACAGATAATAATTTTGTAAAATTGATAAATTAAAGTAATAAAATTTAGTTATATGCGACTAATCAGTAAAAAAACACACAAAAAGTAATAGGTAATTGAAAGTAATATAAATATAAAGATAATAATATCCTAAAATGGAAATCAAACAAGTTTGGTAACAAATAAGTAAATTGCGCGTTAATAAAATTAAGAATAGAAAATGAGAATATACGAAATTAGTATAAGAGCGACTGAGCGAAGTGAGGATGTCGAGAAAAGAAAGTTGCTGACAAAAAATTATGATGATGTGCGCCCGGCTGACAGGAATAAACTTTCGCTTATTTTTTATGTTATATCAGCACGCCATGATGGCATATAAAGCTCCATACAAAGAATTCAATAAATACCTGACATTAATATTCAATACATACAATATGTTCAAGAAAATCTAACTTAAAATAAAACCTAAACTAATTTCATGCAAATTTAATGAAAAAATCCGTATAATTAACAAATAGGAAATGAACAAATACTTTGTTTAATTATTCCACGTATAATGTTTAGGTAACTTTTGATCTTGAACGTTGAATTCAACGTTACTGAGTTATTGAAGCGTGAAATGTTGCAATTTGCAGCAGTGTTGTAGATTTTAGCAAATCGCGTGAAAAGCAAACAATCACGATGCATTTCTTACTCCTCAATTCTTTCATCTTACTCGCAGATCTTACAACGGTAATACATCTTTATGTTCAATCATTTCGCTTCCTTTGCACTGCTTTTTAATGTTGGAATTTTCTGGTGTTTTTACGTTTCCTTTCAGTTGTTTACCACAAATTATTCACATCTTCTACAACTATTACCGCAAAAGGATAAATTTTCTATGGCTATAAAGTTGCGAATAATTTACATTCGTCTGCATATGTTGTGTGGCCAGGAAAAACCATAAAATGGCAAACATCATTACTTTATTTAATTTTGTGGCTCGTGCAATTACCGCAGCGTATATTTCAGTGTTCTGAACATAAAAATTCTGCACCCGTGGAATGAAATCTTTAATTTCAACTAGGAAGGACCTCCCATTATGCGATGTTGCGAAATGTATCGCGTAATAGCTATTTATTTTACCAATTTTAAAAAAGTTAATTTTTTGAAAAACCATTAATTCCCTCATAACTTTTTTGTAAAACTTTGATATAAGTAAAATTCATTATAATAACATTCTGAATATAATAGGTACTACTTAGATTTTTGAAGAAAAAACAAAAAAAAATGTTTTTCTGTTTTTTTTTTTCACTTTTTAAATAATAACTAAACTCTACACTCCAGTTTTATCGTCAGTCAAGGTGGAGTTCACTAGATTCTTTGAATTATATCCACTGAAAGTCAAAGTTGGAACTCCTTGCATTGTTTAATTCATATTTAACTTTTATTACTTGTATTATTCTATTAGTTAATATGCTCCTTGCTTCTTGTTGAGGTTGCTGCTTTAGCTGGTAGGTAGCAATGTGGCAACTTATGCAAATCGGCAAAACTGAACAACAAGCCAAACAAGTAACAACCAACGAACGACCATGAGACACTACAGTACACTAGAGAAACTACTTCATAAATGTCAAACGAAAATAAGCTCTGCAATCATATAAAATTTTGTATCAAATACGTTTAAAATTCCCAACTGACTTAACTTAAGTAGCTTTTGTATGCGTCGAGTATATCATCCACATTTTACAATATTCTGCGGTAATTTGTAATCTAGTTGTGCTTTCTGCTCGGTGCTCACCGGTCGTTTGCGATTGTGATTGCTTCTCGGCATTGAAGATTGAAGAGGCGCTGCGCTGCGCGCGCAGTTGCTTTATTTGTTGTTCGTTGTTTTGTGCGATTAACAATAACGAGATGCAGTTATTTATTTAAGGCGAGTGCGCGCTCGCACAATTGACTTCCAGCTGTTCCATGATTGCGCATGCGCGACTTGAAAATAACACAATCTAACTTAACTCGAGCGGAAAATTTGCAATGCTAAACACTTTTTATGATTAAATTGAGCTGAGGATACTTTTTTTTAATTAGATTTGAGGGATGTTAACAATTTTCGATTGTGTCGTGCTGTCCACATTTACGAATGTTTAAATTGTGTGCAAACACAAAGTGAAAGCCGAGAAATTCACAGCGCCGGTGCACTTTACTCAAGCACACAGCCATACACAATAAACGTGTGATGTGCACATCGGAAATGAAGGCAGCAAACGCGCGTATTACGCAGGCTGAAACACAGTCAGAACATGAGATTTGCGTTATGATAAGAATTTAACTCGTTAGCATACGATTGCTAACACAAAAAAAAAGAATAAAAACTGTTATTATACAGCGCCACCTATCGTAGAATAGCTAATAAGTTAGGTAATGTTATTACTTTTTAGTTAAACCTACTAGTTTTGCCCGCGACTTCGTCTCGGTAGTGTTTAATATAAATGTAATTCATTTTTACTCTCTTTTTCTAGACATAGTATGCGTCAATTCTATCAATAAGATTCGCAATTTTATTTTAAAGAAATTAATTATTTAAAGAATTGCTAATAATGCACTTCAATGCGTCATCTCGGAATCAACTATTTAACTATAATTATGATTGAATCTCAATGACAACTTTTATCTTATAGAAAAAGGCTGTCTTTAGGATTTTCCCGGCAATTATTCGAATTTTTCTCGCCGCAAAAGCCATCCTTGGACTTCAACGAAAATTAAAAAAAAAAGAATTGGCCAAATTGGTCAAGACGTTGTTGAGTTATACGCTTACGAACAGATTTTGCGATTCATTTTTATATTATAGATTATATATACAATATATGATTTCTCACGCTTTACCGAAAAAAAAATAGAAATTTTTGGGTGTGGACCACATGATAAATTAAATTTATTTCATGTTTAAATGTTATATACCTACTCTTCGCTTCATCTTTGTTGTGTGTTTTGTTTTATTAGCTCTTAAAATCTGCATAAAATCTGGGTGTTGTGGACTCGGAGCGTTTTCGATTTTCATTTCCGCCTTCGGTTCATTTCACTTCAAACGCATGCGGTGAGATCGCGGCTCTGATTCGGTGACCTTAGAACCGAGCGAGTCAAAGAGGTCTCACCAGGTGAAGCCGTATTCTAACTAACTTCGGGCACGAGTATAAATTTAAATTGTACGTAAAGTAAATTCAAGAGTAAAGTCATATTTCTAATATATAAATCTTAGACTTAAGTCATATAGTATATGAATTTCAATATCAAGATGCTGGCTTTCTAAGAAGATTAAGTCATTACTTAAGTTAAGCCACTTGCATTCACATAAAGTTGTGCTTGTGAAATTGAAAAAATCTAGATGGCAAAGGTGAGTGCAGACGAGCGCGACGACGCAGGAGGGCGTGCCAAATCGTCCGGAAAATGATAAAGCGCGCAGCGCATGCGCAAATGACTCAAGTCGGAAATCGTTTGAAATCAATGCAATGAAAATATATGGTGCAGATTTCTTTTTAATTGATTCAATCTAGGTTAATAATTATTTATTTGAATTTAATTGAATTGTTTTATGAATGCATATACGCATTAATTTATTATTTATTTATAATGAAAATATTTATATCACGCGATAGTTTTACCCTTCGTTAATTTTTTATCCTTGCATTAACATTAAAGTAACAGTGTTTGAAATTTAATTTTTCTTAAGTAAACTTAACTTAAGTATAAATAATTAAACGGCATTTTGATATGCTTTGATTAATCGCGCCATTACTAATTGTTCAGTCGCTGGTGAGCGAAACCGTTAATTTGTATAATACGTATAAATTTATCTAATTGTAATGGTTTTATCGTTTTATGAAATTTCCTTC